AATACAAGAACAAATTCAGAGGAAACAGCTCAGCGAAAATGCCAGGCTGCACACCATGATCAGCGGAGGATTGATGAAGTTATGTACTCGGTGACAGAATCCTACATTATTCTCATAAGCGAAATCGAAATTGGGCCCTGGATGTATGCATCTTTTTCTGCCCCTCGCCTGCTGTTCTAAGGCAAGAAAAGAAATGGCCTCCTTTCTGCACTTGTAGTTGCCTGGTGTCGTTTCTGCTGACTAGAGAGGGCTTTCTGCAACAGACTCTGCCTCTCTTGCACACTGAGATGAGCTCCACCTCCTCTAAAGAAACCAGGCTCACTTAGTTCTCTGAATCTGCCAAAGCATGACTCCAGGCAACGCGAGCAACTCTACTGTCACCCACACACAAGGTATTCCATTAATCATGCAAAGCAAACTTGGAATCGAAGGGCAGTGGAACGTGTCTGTTGGCCCCCCTGCCCCGAGGCCAGGCAGCCCCAGCGGGGGACGACTCTGTCACAGAGGGCCACGTTCTGCCCTACCTCAGCGTTTAACTATGCAACTTGGTGCCCTTGGCAAATCAGAACAAACTTCGTCACAGGACATTATTGGTTTAATGCAGGCAGAGCAACGGTGGAGGAAGTTTTGGTGACCACATCAGAGACCAGCTTGAAGTCTTGCACAGAGGATGATGTGGCTTGTTGTTGACTGACGGGCAAGAAACCTGATTCTTGGGAGCCCACTTCACGGTGTGGCGTGAGAATGTAAACGTGTGCGGTTTCATTATGCAGACCGAGTCTCCCTCTCTCCTGTCTCCGAGGACAGAGTATGATTGATTCCAAGAGCGTCTGATTCCCAGACGAGGAACTGAAAATAACCTGCAGCTCATCTTTATGCAGAGCCTTCCATGGCGTATTGACCCGAACACTCTGCACAAAGCCACACACGCTGCACACCACTATCTCTTTATGGAGACACTCACAACCTTCTCAGAGTCCCAACATGCTGAGACTTGTCAATACTAAGGCCAGGTAATAACTGACACGTGATGGAAACTTCAGCCTTACACCCTCAAGATAAGACTAATTTAAGATAGTCACACCTCTGTGAACTACTGACACCATTTAGCGAATGTTATGATAAGGTAACGTCTTTTTCTTAAGCAAGAGCAAGAACAGGGCCTTCAAGTCATATACAGAAGCATATTGTAGAATGATACCATAAATCTCTGCTCTTCTATTCTTCTTAACTAATACTGAAGTGATGAACACAAGTCAAAGCAGTGGTATATTAAAGCCCAGTGTTAAGCAGCTCAAATAGAAGGGAGACCTCTGCTGTTTGCAGACATGTACTTCATATAGTCCACTTATCATGTGGTAGGAGAGGTGCTACAGGAATAGCTTGTTAGTAAGGAGAAATGTACAGTTAAATACTGTAAAATGTGTCTTACTGTTAATTTTGCTAATTTCCATGAATGCATTTTTTTAAGTTTAGAGAGTTACATAACAAGTACCATTTCAAACACGGAAAGGTAAGCTTTGTGGGCCCATTTCAGCACCATTATGTGAACAGCTCCCTTACTTAACATTACGCTTACAACTGCACAGAGAAGAGCTGCAGTCATATAAATAAACTGAGTTGTGTTTCAGCACCACTAGTCAGTGGACAGCTCCTATTCAGCATGTTGCAGTGAACAGGCAGCATATGGATCTCTTCTACCTTATAATGTCTTTCAAAGCACTTGTCATCTTTTTCCAGCGGAGAGGAGGCTCTGACGTGCAAACTTGGTCAATAAATTCACATTTTCTGAGGAGTTAAAAAATTGCTAAAAAATTGATCCAGGAACTTTTATGCTCAGACAGCAAATTATACGCAATTGCCACAAATTGTGATGCTATTGCATTGCGTTTATGAGTAGCGCGTCCTCTTTGGTAAACGATCCCGAGCCAAGCGCTTTGTAAAACGCTGTAGAGTCCTGTTTTATTCCTTTGCCTAGCCCAGATTTATATTGCTGTTAAATTAGCACAACAAATATAAAGAAATATTGAGAAAGCCTCATCAAATGCCATCAGTATCTTTTGAAATATAGATTATATCCATCCAAAACTGTGTTGGTGTTATTATAATTAGGCTAGCATTCATAATATGCACCAGCTATACCCCAGTTCAGGCTTGCGTTTAGCCGAAATAATCTGCTCCAGTTAATATAAGCAGTCTTCCGGTAAAATATTTCTGTTTATATTACGCCTGGTTTTCAGGCAGCCAGTGGAGAACTTGCATCACTTTCCAAACTGTACAAGCCTGTAAAAGCCTTTTAAGCATGACTAACATTCTTATCTTTCACCGACATTCAAATTTATCCCATCTAGTGCAACACTGACACTTGCCATCTTAAATACATTTTGTAAGTCGCCAAAAGCTTGGTAATATGTTATTTAAAAGTTAATAGTTATTTGATTATTTATGACTGAGGGAACTGCATGTCCCCTCTCTTCCCCACAGATCTAAAAATGAATCCTCTGATGTTGGGAGGGCTATAAATATCTCTGAGGATATCAGGACAGCCTCCATTGCCAAAACAGGTCCCCTAACCTCCTCTAAAGTCCTGTTTATCTGTCGCTCAGCCCGCGACTCCTCAATCAGCCCTACGGCTCCGACATTCTGCTCTTTAGATGAAGCTACTTTCATTCTGTTTGTTTACTGATAAATAATTCACCCTTTGGAAATCACTGTGTTGGTGGTCTTTGATTGGCAGTGCTCCGTGTGTTTGTGTGCCATATTTGGACCGCAATTGTGTTCATATTGACTTTCAGAGGAAAAGAATGGACAATATCTTTGGCCGATCAAACTACAAAGTTAGACGCTGACCCTGTGGCTCTAGTTTTGGGGCCCGAGTCCAATAACAATGTGTCCTTGTGGTGACAGTTTGCATATCAATTTGCACCTGCTTCCTTTTTATGCAGGATGTTTTTTTTCCACAGCTTTTTTTATTTGAAAGTACAAAGACTTTGTTTGAGGCCAAAGAAGACCTCAGCAGATACTGGATGTTGAGATATATCTTTAACAGTGATTCTAAGAAACTTTCAAGAACCCATTTTGGTAAGGAACCTGTAGGCATGCTGTTGGATAGAAGATTTTTGTTTAGTAGCTTTGAAGTTTGAAGAAGCTTAACGTGACATGAAGGTTCTATATCAATTCAGTGTTTTCCTAGAACTGTACATTCAAGGCAAGATCCATTAAGGTGTACCTCAGGTAGACAGCAGTGATGTTGGTGGCGATGATGTACTGCTCACAGGCAGTAGTATATCTTTGGCTGTCATGTGCCTATGCGTTCAGTAATTTTAGAATGGTACCCTTCTGTGGATGCCCTCTATAGAGTTCGTCCGGGTGTGCATTGATATGCTGCTACCCCCCTTTCTCTCATGCCTTATCCAATCATGGTGGTTAATGAGGCGTCGCTCCCACTCTCCACGTTTGCTCTGAACGCCGTCACAACTGCCATTCTCATCTCTCATAGCCCCATGCTTCCTCCAGGTCACTCCAAGATCCATGCTGGTAATGTAAACACAACAGGTTATCCTTACCAGCCCTTACAAATAAACCACAAATGTGGATGGAAAGTAGTGATAGTTGAGACAAACAGTACTGTGCAAACACCCTTCATTTATATAATATCCAGTTGAAACAGCCAATAAGTTTAGTTATTCATTTTTCAGGAGATATTTCCATATTTCCATTTCCATAAGGAAGAAGAAAGTCAGAGAAAAATAAGTGAAACAGAGATTCCAAAATCTGGAGTTCAAAAAATGATTAAAATATACAGAGAAAATCAAGGTCCACTTTTGCTTCAGATCTTAGAAAATCCACAGGTGTTCTTGTCCATTCTTCCACTTTGTCAACACTGTCTGAAAGGATGTGTAGCTGTCAAAAAGCTGTTACTGAGAAAAGGAAACAGATGAGAAGAAGTACATTTTCTCAACCTCACTAAATGAGTTTGAATTACTTGGATCGTGAGCAGCAATCAAAAAAAGAATCATCCAACTTCTAAAACTGAACTTTTTGGAAAAATACCCCTGCAGATTTCTTTGAAAAATGAAAGCAAGACTCCCCAAAAGAACGGAAGCTACAATGAAAGTGAAGACAGACTCACTAAATACTGAAACAAAATAATATTCTACTTAACTGTTAAGGATTCTGTGTAAATGTCTGTTATGTTTTCTGATTTTTAAGATGCTAAGAAATGAACAACTTGTACTTAATGGCCTTTTTGATCTGAAAACAAATAAAAGAAGGGTGGTCTCTGGACTTAACACTGTACTGTACAAAGAAATGGTATCTTCTTGACAATTTCTTTTTAAAAGTTGTAACAGAAGTAGTGTTTAACACATTAAAGCTGAATTTCTTCTCATACCAAACACATAAAGCTGTCGCCTTCAATACTGCAGTTGTGTGCGAGCCATAGCTGAGTATTATGTAATGGAATTTAGGATAGGATTGTGAGGAGGAAACGTTAGTGTTATAGAGCTCTGTTAAACCGTTCATTCCTTTCATAGGCAATTAACATAGGTTATTAAATAAGGAAAGCCTACACGAATGTCTCTATTTATTTATTTATTTTTAGCGATGCAAGCAAATCAAAGGAGTTGGACAAGGGAGGAGCCCTAACCTCACAGATTAGCCTTCTGCATTATCCTCATTCTACCTCCGCCCACTCTTCAGTAGCGCTAACTCTCTCTCTCCCTGTCGCTCTCTCGCTCTCTCTCTCTCTCTCTCTCTCTCTCTCTCGCCCTCGCCCCCCCCCACCCCCCCCAATCTCTCACTTCTAGTCACCGCTCGTCCAGGCTGCTCTCTGCTCTTCATCTAAAGTCTGTCTTCTCCTCCTCCTGATCCCCCCTCTCCTGCATGCGGACTCCTCCTCATCACGCTCGCACTCGCTCGGTCCCCGCCGTCCAACTCTCTCTCTTTCTACCTCTCTCTCTCTGTGTGTCGCTCTCTCTCTCTCTCTCTCTCTCTCTCTCTCACTCTCTCTCTCTCTCTCTGTCAGGGCTCGGCGCTCGAGCGGTGCTTTTCCACGCGAGCAGCGGCAGCGTTAGCAGAGGGGCTCCGATCTGCAGGAACTTTCCGCTCTAGCCGCTCCTCCTGTTCAATCCCACAGCCTCTAAAAAAAACACACTGCCCCCTCTCCTCCACCTCCACCCCCTCAAACCATCCTCCGCTCCCTCCTCCTCGCGCTTCACTCGGACCGTTCGAGAGGACCGGAGCCGCCTGGATGCTTCAGCGCGGTATGGAAATTTCCGACCTCGGTTAAGGATATTTTCTGGCGCGAACCCGAACGAAGAAGGCGTCGAGGGAGAGAAACGGGGCTTGGAAGGAGGACGGTTACCCCCTCTCCACCTCCTCCATCTCTCCCCTCCACCTCCTCCACCTCCTCTTCTTCTTCGTCCTCTTCCTCCTCCTCCTCCTCTTCCTCCGCTATCCGGACCAGTCCTCCGCTCGTTCGCTTCAGGATTTAAAGCCTCCATTCCTCTTCTACTGGGAGACCCCCGGGCTTTTTTTGGGCTTTGGGCTTTAAACCGCCCCCCTCCCGCGGGAAGACATGAAAGTTTCCCCGGCGCTCGTGCTCCTGCTGGCCGTTTGGAGCGCGCGGTGGCAGCGCGCGCTGCCCGATTCCATTATTCACATCGGTGAGTTTAAACACCCCCTTTCAGCGACGAGCAACATTTTTTCCTCATTTTTTTGTTCTGGGATTTCATACGGGGCTCGAGCTTTACGAGCCCGCTGTAACATTAGCTCACTGTGCTGTTAGACTCGTTCAGGCTTCTGTGGGTTTTTCGTGTTTAAATCTGTCTCCGTGTCTGTCTCTTCGTCTAGTTTTGCGGATTGCGCTGCAGTTTGGACACGAAGTGGAATATCCTCCACAATGCGGCCATTATGTTGGGAGGCTGCGCGTGTTGGGGACAGAACAGGTGGTTTTGCTTGGAGCTGAAGGGCTTTTTTAGTCATTAGTATCGTTTATTCCTGAATTCCCTCTCACTGCGGGTGAGGTCTGTTAGCGTGCTTCAGTACTTGCTTCAGTATGAAACAGATAGAGGCAGACAGACAGACAGACAGACAGAAGAGGGACACGGGTGATGATGATAAGCATGCATACGTGTGTGGAGAGTGCACGCGCGCGTGCACGTTTTAGAGACGGCCACGTAGAATAGAAGAGCTGCTCCGCTCTCTGTGCGTGTTGTGGAGTGGGGGTGCATTAGCCCGCTTCCCTCTACACAGAAACTTCCATCATATCACATAATGACTCGAACTGAATGGTTTGCGTGCTTGATTGTAGAAGCCTTCACTGTTTTGCACTGTTGGCTTTGATGCCAGGCAGTCAGAACTAATCCATGTATGACTGCTAGGAATTGAGGGAGGGCGCAGTTATTTAAAAACGCCATCCCCATTGCCTCTTGCAATGATATAAGCTCATAGTGGCGTCTACACAGAGAACAGTTCATATAGTTAACAGACAGCAGTTGGGCTGGGACAAAACCCATATATATATATATATATATATATATGTGTATATATATATATATGTGTATATGTATATATATATAAGTATATATATATGTATATATGAGAGAGAGAGAGACAACAAGCATCATCTCATCACATATAACATTTTATATATATATATATATATATATATATGTATATATATATATATATATATGAGACAAAATGCGAGTTGGAGCATGTCTTGTGTTAAACAATAATCCTATAAAAATATAATAAAAATGGGCTCAACCCAGCTTTTGGATCGAAAACACGAAAACAACCATAACCCAGCATTTTAAGAGTGCCCCCAGTCTGCAAACAGGTGGGATAAAGCAGAGTCAGTCTTTAAAGCCGCAGAAGTGGGCTACAGTCCTTCTAAGCAAGTGTTAGCGGTTTTACTAACAGCAGTAGACTATAAAACATGCCTCACTCCCCCGGCAAAAAAAAAATCGATTCTGTGCAAATATCGAAGACAGTAATTTCTGAATCTTAGCAGTTCCTGCTTTTTTCCCATTGCCTTGGCCAACATGAGTGTGCACGTGTGGGACTCCAGGTAACTCCACATTACGGAGAGCCCAGACAGTTTTGACCATGTCCCAAAGTAATCCCTTCCTAATCTCTTTTCTGCTGTAATCGAAATAAAAGAGAGGAAAAAAACCCGACAGCGAGCTCAACTGCAGCAGAGAGGTTCCTCCAGCTTCCTCATGATCTGCATGCTGAATGGCAGGCAGCCTTTTATGAGGCTGTGCTGAGAAGTCTCAGTGATTTATGTGGCTGGAAATGCCCCCCTCACAAGTCCCTCACATTATTCGAGCTGCCTCGCAGGACCCCCCTTTGGTCCCGCAGCAGCCCCCTCGAGCGCAGAGTGCCAAGCGTGTGTTTAGACTTCCCCGCCAAAAGATTCACGATGAGGCAATTACAGCTCCCTCTCTAACAGCGCGAGCTCCACACGCAGTGCAAACGTTTGGTTTGGCTGATAGAGCCTGAGCAGGAGCGAGCTTCGCGCCCCCTAGTGGCCGCTCCAGTCTCACCAGACTGGGACTATGTAGTCTAATGGATTGACAAGTCTGATTATTTTTGATGGCCGTGACAGGTTGTAGCCTCGTGCGTTTTAGCAGCATCTTTTTAGATCATTTGCCCTCACCATCTTACGTGGATGAGGACATTATGTTTTTTGTAGCTAAGTGAGTGTTTTTTCCAACAGTGTTGATTGAAGGTAGATATTGGGTCATTTTGCTTCTGACAGGGTAGATACTGGCTCAATTAGCTTCTGATAGGGTAGATAATGGCTCGTTTTGCTTCTGATTGGGTAGATACTGGCTCATTTTGCTTCTGATAGGGTAGATACTGGCTCAATTTGCTTCTGATAGGGTAGATACTGGCTCAGTTTGCTTCTGATAGGGTAGATACTGGCTCAGTTTGCTTCTGATAGGGTAGATACTGGTTCATTTTGCTTCTGATTGGGTAGATACTGGCTCAATTTGCTTCTGATTGGGTAGATACTGGCTCAATTAGCTTCTGATAGGGTAGATACTGGTTCATTTTGCTTCTGATTGAGTAGATACTGGCTCGTTTTGCTTCTGATAGGGTAGATACTGGCTCATTTTGCTTCTGACAGGGTAGATACTGGCTCATTTTGCTTCTGATAGGGTAGATAATGGCTCAGTTAGCTTCTGATAGGGTAGATACTGGCTTGTTTTGCTTCTGATAGGGTAGATAATGGCTCAGTTAGCTTCTGATAGGGTAGATACTGGCTCAGTTAGCTGCTGATAGGGTAGATACTGGCTCGTTTTGCTTCTGATAGGGTAGATAATGGCTCGTTTTGCTTTTGATAGGGTAGATACTGGCTCAGTTAGCTTCTGATAGGGTAGATACTGGCTCGTTTTGCTTCTGATAGGGTAGATAATGGCTCGTTTTGCTTCTGATAGGGTAGATACTGGCTCAGTTTGCTTCTGATAGGGTAGATACTGGCTCATTTTGCTTCTGACAGGGTAGATACTGGCTCAGTTTGCTTCTGATAGGGTAGATACTGGCTCAGTTTGCTTCTGACAGGGTAGATACTGGCTCAGTTTGCTTCTGATAGGGTAGATACTGGCTCAGTTTGCTTCTGACAGGGTAGATACTGGCTCAGTTTGCTTCTGATAGGGTAGATACTGGCTCATTTTACTTCTGATTGGGTAGATACTGGCTCATTTTGCTTCTGATTGGGTAGATACTGGCTCGTTTTGCTTCTGATTGGGTAGATACTGGCTCAGTTTGCTTCTGACAGGGTAGATACTGGCTCATTTTGCTTCTGACAGGGTAGATACTGGCTCAGTTTGCTTCTGATAGGGTAGATACTGGCTCGTTTTGCTTCTGATTGGGTAGATACTGGCTCATTTTGCTTCTGATAGTGTAGATACTGGCTCAATTAGCTTCTGACAGGGTAGATACTGGCTCATTGTATAAGCAATTATTTCTCTGATAAACCAATCAGAAACAAAATGAGCAAGTTTCTACGTTATTATTATGGGGATTTTTTTGCTTTTTGATTTGTCTGACTAAGTCATATCATGTCAAGTACACTATTCAGAATGTTTAGGCTTATTTCAGCGATGATGGACACTGGTTTAATCTTTTCCTTGTGTCTTGGTTATTACGTTAACCATCATAAAGATGATAAAAACCTGTAAATGCTATTTATATGTAACCCGAAGTGCTGGTAGTGGGTGAGTTTGGACCACTTTATGGTGGCACAACATACTCTTCCACAAGAGTCAGACACACTGAGAGCAGTTCTGGGCCCTAAGGGGACATCACTGTCTGCGTTCCACCGACAGGTCAGCGGATTGTTCCCAGGCTCTGGCCTGCATGGCCAAAACTGCAATCTCTCTGCAAGTGCAAATTAGATATTAAAAAGCAAGCAAACAAACAAGCAAGCTAGTAAGAATGCAGCACGGAGAGGTAAATTTGTCTGATTATCTCCTCCCACTCGCATACATTGTCATGGTGGGTTACATGGTTGAGTCCAAAGCCAAAGGAAATTGTGGATAATAATCCTCAGCGCTGCTTGGCAGGTGGGCCAGATGGGTAGTGCCATTTCAGCAGTCTATTTTTGGACGCAAACTGCTGCGGCCTCCGTCACAAGAACACAGTGGTAATGAGTTGTGTGAGGCCGAAGGCTATCTTTCGTACTAGCATTACTTAATCTGCCCTTCTTCATAGTCATGCAATATAGAGTGTGGACTGCAGGCGTTTACATGTGTACTTTTTTTGAGTGTGCAGCATGGAAGAAGTGAAGAGTGCATGTAAATATTTGCTTGAGTAACTCAGCTGAATTAGATATGACAAAGGCATGCATGTAATTTGTTATGTAAGTTTGGTTGTGTGTTGAAACAGCCCATTTTACACTGTTTCATTCGTGCTTAAGTGATACCTTCCATTTTAGTATGTGTGCCAGCCTTGACAGCACACTTTTACAGTATTTACTCTGGCATTTGTTGAAGTGCACTTCCTCTCACATTATGGCATCTGACAGACAAGACTGTCAGCTGATGCTGTCACTCCATGTGGCATTTAGAATTGTGCAAGTGCCATATTTCCATAAAAGCTATCTCCACACGATGCCTATCTGAATGACTGTAGGAGTGTAGTGATTCAGGCGTGATTTTTCTCAATAGGCTGTTGTTAAGTTCAAATGTCAGTGTGTGGCTTGGAGTGTACCAATGCAGTGTTATGTTGGAACCAGAATGAACAGTGGCTTTGGGTATGAAGCTCTCACACTGAAGGCTCATTATTCAGCTATGAGAATTATAATTCAGTAACTACTCTAAATTATTCAGCAGTTACTATAAAACCAAATTTGCAAGTAATGCAGTTAGAGGGTGAGGAACTGAGGTGTGTCCTAAATTTTTCTTGTATTTTTTTAATCACATTTTTGCAGGTTTATGTACCAGAATTAGCCATTATTCATGTTTACGTGACCATTTTCCACCCTCCCCGTATCCATTAGAATTAAACAGGCTGTTTTGGTTACTCCGCCTTTAAGGCCGCCATATAAATGATGTTTATTCTGACTGGCTACTCTGTGTAGTTTCTGTCAAAAAAGCAGTCTGGACTGGAACACTCCTGATAACTTAAAGGGGAAGTGAACTGATTTTTTTCA